TGTTTCATGCTGGCTGAGAGTCACTCCGGTCTAGAGAACAGGGTTGCATCAACCCCGTCAGGGGTGGAGGCCCCGGGGGTCCAGAGCGAGTGGACTCCCTGAGGGGGCCCACAGCAGAGACAGACGTGCTAAGGCTCAGAGAGGTGCGGATCCAGGAAGTGGAGGGGCCCGACCCCGAGAGAGAGTGGACCCCCAAGAAGGGCTGTCTCACTAAAAGGGGCACCTCCCCACGGACTGCACGGGACCAAGAGTGGGCACGATCTGTGACTCCGTGACAACAACGTCACAGAGGGAATCTCAGGATATGTCAAGAGATGCCCAGGCTCAGGCTGCCCTCACCTTCTCCAACAGGCCCGTCTAGCCTCCCTGGAGCAGCAGCTCAGAGCAGAGGAGGGCTCCCACCACACACACACACAGTGCCCCACACGGAGCGACCCTCTTCCATGGAGCAGGGCAGAGATTCCTTCCTGACCCGGCTGGGCCCAGCACCCGCCCTGGAACATGAGGGTGGAGGGGCCTGGCCAACCTCCTTCTCAGGTAGCATCGCTGTAGATGCTGTTCTTTGCACAGTGGTGTGAGACAGAGACGGGACAGAGGGTGGAGGGGTTGTGGTTTCCAGCCCCAGGAATGGGATGGAGGAGGGGTAAATTTAGATCCTAAGTTGCTAAAACAGCAACCAAAATATCTGTGAAAAGGAGAAGTGTGTCCAGAACCGGCGCTCGCTTGCTGGTTCTGCTACTCCCAGTGAAACTCTGCATAAACCTGATTCCCCGGCAGCTCCCCATCTCCCCCAGGTGTGACACACTCTCCTGGCGCCGGGACAGGGGTTGGGGGCTGCCCGGGGGGGCTGGTTTAATGATCTGTGTTTATTACAAAGCTGGAGGTTAACAGGATGCAAAATAACATCAAAGCTGCCTTGATGCGTCTCCTACCCATCGCAGTGCTGAGCCCCCCCTTCACCCCACATGTAGGTCTGGGCGGGGCAGGGGGACAGAAGCTTGATGGGTCGGGGCTGCAGCAGGGGGAGGGCAGCGTCCCCCCTAAATCTTCCCTAGATGCAGAGTTCTCTGGGGCTGTCACTGTTGGGGCGTGAGGCTGTTGCCCCCTGAGGTCTGGTGCCCCATGGCTGCGGGGGGCTCTCACTGCGGGGCTCCCCGGCTCACGTTGATCACATCGTACACACTGGGCTGCAGCGTCTGGTGGTCCAGCTCGGCGTAGGTGTCGGGGTCGGGCTCCTTGGGATGGGAGGGGAGAGAGTCACTTGTGTGTGTGTCTGTGTGTGTGTGCGTGCGCATGCACCAACCCCCTGCCACACACACAGAGCAGGGTCCATCCCCTCAAACAAGGGGCGACAGAGAAACACACATACACCCTGCAATCCCAGCTGGCGATCCCATAACCCCCCCTTATTGCCCGACCCCCACCCCAAACCACTGAGTGTGCCAGGATAGGCTGGGTGTGTGTGTGAGAGGCCTGCTGGGGCCCATGTGGGTCAGGGTTGAGGGTCAGGCCCCTGGGGGAACAGGGGACACTTACCAGGGTCTGCGGCTCTTTCCCTTCGTCCATGGAGGCATCTGCAGAACAGAGACACCCGCTGAGCTGCACCCCCGGCTGGCCCAGAGCAGAACCCCACACCCAGCTCTGACCCCTCTGTCCAGCCAGTGGGGTCAGAGCCCAGCACAACCACCCCTCCTCCGCCCCAGAGCATGGGCCAGGGTCATTAGCCCCGTGTTACAGAGAGGTAAACTGAGGCACAGAGACGATGGCAGAGTCTAGGGTGTTACGGTGGGGTGGGAGGGGGGCTGGGAGTCAGGATGCCTGGGTTCTCTCCCCGGCTCTGGGTGGGGAGTGGGGTCTAGAGGTTAGAGCAGGGGGCTGGGGGCTAGGAGTGGATGCGGCTTCCCTGTAGGTCACTGGCTGGGAAGATCCAATGGAGAAGTGAAGGGGGGGGAGACAGAAGACCCCCCAGGCCAGGGGGGAAGAATGGGGGGCACACATAGGGAGATCATGAACTAGAGGGGGAGGGGAGCCCCCCAAAACCCCTCCCTTCCCCAGGGGTCCTGCCCCACTCTGGTACCCCCTTGGGTGTGTTACTCACAGATGTTGTCTTGCTGAGCTGGGGCCTTCAACACCCCCAAAGGGCTGGCATTAAAAGAGAGAAAATCCCTTTGTAAATGTCATATCCCCCCAACCGCAGGGAGATTCCCCAACACAGCCAGAGAGCCCCCATCCTGCCTCACACTGAACCCTGTTCCCTAATTCAACCTTGCCCCAACCACTAGACCCCACTCCCCTCCCAGACCAAGGAGAGAAGCCAGGAGTCCTGGCTCCCAGACACCCTGTTCTAACCACTAGACACCACTCCCCTCCCCGAGCTGGGACAGAACCCAGGAGCCCTGTGACCCCGGCAGGCCGATCGGGAGGGGGAGGAGCTGGATTCCTACCTGCTCAGTCTCGGTGCGGCTCCTTTTCCTGCAGAGGGAAACAAACCAGAATCCTCCATGAGCCGATCGGGATCCCTTGGTCCCAGTGCCCGGCCACTCACCCCCCACCCACAGGGCAGCAGGGATGGAGGATCTGGGGGGTCTCCCCTCTGCTCCTGGTGCTGAGCCTTGATCCTGGCTGGGGTGGGCTGGACCAGCAGGGGCCAGCACAACACCAGCGCATGCACCGGGGGGAGGGGCAGATTAACTCGGGGTTCTTTCCTGTCTCCAATCCTCCCTCGTTAGTGACTCGTTATAACGAACCTGATCCACAGGTCGGCTCCTCTGCCACCCGAGGTACCGGAGAAGCTCTTTATACAGGGACCCTTAGCCCGGCACTGAGACGCAGCCACCTCTGGGGTGGGACAGGTGCGTGTGTACAGGGATTACACATGCAACAGTGTCCTCTGCTGAGCCCCCCCGCCCCATCTCCTTGGCTTTCCCGGCACAGTCCCGCATCCCATCCGTGATCCCATCCCGCCCTGCTTAGCGGCAGGTTTAACCCTTCCCTCGCTGGGCGGGGCACTCACTGGCTCGGGTTTTTCTGAAGCAGACGAAGGCCACGAGGAGGAGGAGGAGGACGGCGGCTGCTGCGCTCACCCCGGCGATGATGGCGCTGGTCGGTGCCGGCGATTCCGATCCGTCTGGGAAATTGCAGCAGCCTGAGTGCCGGGAGCAGCTGGTCTGTTCCCTTCCCAGCCCCTCCCACCCCAGGTGGCGCCCAAGGGCAGCAGAAAATTCTATGGGGAGGATGTCAGGGGCCCTGAGGAATCAAGTGGGGTCAGAGCCAGCAATATTTGGCAGATTTAGGTGCTGGGTGCAGGGGGCTCAGTAGGGGGCGCTCTCCCCCGGCAGTCAGGCCGGCCCCCAATTCCCCAGTGTGGTACTAGGGGGTGCTGCCTGAGTAACCATTTCCAATCCCGTCCCCCCACCACCCCTCACGGTGCCATGGCACCAGTCAGGCCTGGCCACACCGACTCAGGTCTGGCTCTGAGCGTCCCATCAGTGCACAGCCCCCCTCTCCCCCCCCCAAGGTCCGGCTGGGTGTGGGGCTGGGAGCCGGGACAACGAGCCAGACCCTTTACCTGCTACCACCAGCCACAGGGGGTCGCTGGGCTCTGAGGAGAGGAAGGGCTCTGATCGGTTCCGGTAGCTGCAGCTGTAGTTCCCTCCGTGCTGCCGGCCCACGGTGGGGATGCGGAACTCGGCCCTGTTCCCAGGAGGGTCCATGTGTCGCTGCGGGTTCAGGTCTCCAGCCTTGTGCAGGAAGAACCTCACGTACCGGCGCTGCCCCTGACACTGGATGGTGACGTTTGCCCCTGGAGCGGTGACCCCAGTGGGGCTCAGCGAGATGGAGGGTCTGGGTAAGCTGGGATCTGCGCACAGGAGACAGGCTGAGAGCCAGAACCGGGCACCCACCCAGCCCTGGACTCCCCGGCCTATCCCAGCCATGGGCAGATCCAGGGGCCCCTGGGCAGAGATTCTCTCCCAGGTCCCAGAGCTCCCACCACCCAGAATCCCGGCCCTGCGAGCTGGGCACCCAGCCCCACAGACACCGAGCCGCAGCTCCCTAGTGCTTGGGTCATTATATGCCATGTGTGGCTCCTGCCTCATTCACTGCATCCGGCCTGCTCTGGACAGAGGGACACACGGGCTCGTCTCTGGCGCCCGGCACCACAGGGCCCAGGGTTGCCGGTGTCCAGTTTTCAGCTGTTAAGTGGATTGAAAAGGGAACCTGGCAGTGCCGATGATCAGACAGTCTCATTCCCTGCAGTACCCAGTCTGTGCCACCAGGGGGCAGGAAGCGCAGCTGCTGCTGGAGCCTGGAGGAGCTGTGGAGCTACTCAGCAGGGGCCCCACTCACCCCCACCCCCGGAGCGTGGGTCTCCCTCCCCCACCCTCACCCCTGGACTGTGGCTCACCTGGCAGGGGGAGGTGGTGGAGAGAGCAGCGAGTGGACGGGGGGGGGGGGGGGGAAGAGGACCGAGGGGGC